TTGAAACCCATACCAAATAAATGAATAAATAAATAAATAAATAAATAAATAAATAAATAAATAAATAAATAAATAAAATGTCTACAGAATGACAAAAGTAGGGAATTAAATAAAAACAATTTCAACCATAGTTTATGATGTTACCAGTGTTGGAAAGATGTTTCTTCTTCTTTGTATTATTTTAAAAGTTTTTATACAATATATTTTGAGCATATTTCTCCAAATTGAGTATTTTTGATTAAGTAATTAATTTGTTCGAAACCTACTTGAATTTAACAGGCATGGAGCTTTATTAACTCTCCACTCACCAGACGCATATCTCCATTGAGGACAGGTGTCTGTGAAAGAGAGGATATACAAAATAAAAACGTAATTTATTTAGTCATCACTCATTTTTATTTCAATTTTTTAAGTCCTGGACATGGAAGTCAAGGGTTTTCATCATTTTTCTCTTCTTTTCTCTAATCAGTTTTTTACATTTTTCTCTTTTCTAAAATCAGTTTTGGTTTATTTTTATATTCTCTGAAATCATTTTTTTCCATTTTTCTCTTCTTTTCTCAAATCAGTTTTTTTTCATTTTTTCTCTTTTCTCAAATCAGTTTTTTTCATTTTTCTATTCTTCTCTCAAATCAGTTTTTTTCATTTTTCTCAAATCATTTTATTCATTTTTCTCTTCTTTTCTCACATCAGTTTTTTTCATTTTTACCTTCTTTTCTCACATCAGTTTTATCATTTTTCTCTTCTTTTCTCAAATCAGTTTTTTCATTTTTCTTTTCTTTTCTCAAATCATTTTTTTATTTTTGTCTTTTTTCAAATCAGTTTTTTTCATTTTTCTCTTCTTCTCTGAAATGTTTTTTTCATTTTTCTCTTTTCTCAAATCAGTTTTTTAATTTTTCTCTTCTTTTCTCAAATGAGTTTTTTTCATTTTTCTCAAATCAGTTTTTTAATTTTTCTCTTATCACTTTTTCTTACATTTTTCTTCTCTTCTCAAATCAGTTTTTTCATTTTTCTCTTCTTTTCTCAAACTAGTTTTTTTTATTTTTTTCTTTTCTCAAATCAGTTTTTTTCATTTTCCTCTTCCTTTCTCAAATCAGTTATTTTCTTTTTTCTCTTTTTTTCAAAAACCAACCAGTTTGTTTCATTTTTCTCTTCTTTTCTCAAACCAGTTTTTTTCATTTTTCCCAAATCAGTTTTTTTTATTTTTCTCTTCTTTTCTCAAATCAATTTTTTCACTTTTCTCTTCTTTTCTCAAATCAGTTTTCTTTCATTTTTCTCTGTTTTTCTCAAATCACATTTTTTTTCATTTCTCTAGAATTTTATTCCGTGGCCCTGAACCGTGTTCACGTTCCCGCCAGTTCCTCTGAGATCCACCAACTCTTTGTTAGTCGGTCAACAAACACACACATACACACACACTCGCATGCACTCTCACACACACATACAACACACACATGCACACACACACACTTATGCACACACCACACACACACACACATACACCAGACACACACCAGACACACAAGAACACGCACACATATACACACATAGACACATACATATACACACACACACCACACACACATATACGCACACACACATACACACATACACAGACACACATACACACATACACCACACACGTATACACACACGATACACACACATACACCAGACACACACCATACACACAAAAATACACACACATATACACACAGAAACACACATACACACACACAAATACACATACACCACACACACATATACACACACACGCATATATATACACATACACATACAGACATACACACACTCACATACACAGACACACATACACACACATATACACACACACATACACTATACACACACCATACACACAAACACACACACATATTCATTCACACAGAGACACATACATATATACACACACACATGCACACACATGCACACACATGTACATACACACACACACACGCACACACGGACACACACACACTCACACACACATGCATGCACACACACACACACGCACACACACATGCATGCACACACACACACATGCACACACACACACACACACACACACACACACGTCTGTTTCCTCACCCACTCACCCTAATTCCCGCGGTCCACGCGGCTTTGCACGTCAGGATCCTCACGGAGAGAAACACCGCGTCCCCTCCCCCGTCCCTTTCCAGATTCTTCCCATCATCGCGATATTTTGCTTCATAAAACGAGATATGTGTTCCCCAGGGACTTCACACTTGATGGACTCACATCTGACGTGTACATGATGGGAAATTATTCTATTTAGTTAGTTAGTTAGTTTATTATTTGTTTGTTTGTTTTATTTATTTATTTAATTATTTTTGTTTTATTTATTTAGTTAGTTTATTATTTGTTTGTTTTATTTATTTAGTTAGTTAGTTTATTGTTTGTTTGTTTGTTTTATTTATTTAGTTAGTTTATTATTGGTTTGGTTGTTTGTTTTATTTAGTTAGTTGATTATTTGCTTGTTTTATTTATTTAGTTATTTTATTATTTGTTTGGTTGTTTTATTTAGTTAGTTTACTATTTGTTTGTTTTATTTATTTAGTTATTTTATTATTTGTTTGTTTGTTTTATTTATTTATTTGGTTAGTTAGTTTATTATTTGTGTCTTTGTTTTAGTTAGTTACTTCACTGTTTGTATGTTTTATTTAGTTCGTTTATTATTTGTTTCTTTGTTTTATTTATTTAGTTAGTTACTTTATTATTTGTTTGTTAGTTTTATATATTTACTTTATTGTTTGTTTGTATTATTTATTTATTTATTTAGTTAGTTTATTATATGTTTGTTTGTTTTATTTATCTAGTTAGTTACTTTATTATTTGTTTCTTTAATTTATTTTTAATTAGTTTATTTTTTGTTTCTTTGTTTTAGTTAGCTAGTTAATTAGTTAATTGTATTATTATTTTATTAGTTAGTTAATTATTTGTTTGTTTCTTTTAGTTAGTTCATTGTTTGTTTGTTTTATTTAGTTAGTTTACTATTTGATTGTTTTTTTATTTATTTAATTAATTTATTGTTTGTTTCTTTGTTTTATTTATTTAGTTAGTTCATTCTTTGTTTTACTTATTTAGTTTATTATTTGTTTGTTTCTTTGTTTTATTTATTTAGTTATTTGGTTTATTATTTTTTGTTTTATTTATTTAGTTTATTATTTGTTTGTTTTATTTATTAGTTACCTTATTATTTGTTTGTTTGTTTTATTTTTCTCACAGAGCGCAGGATCTCTCACTGGCTTGCTCCCATGGCTGGCTCAGCCTGTTTCTTATAGAACCCAGGACCACCCAGCTCAGGTACAGCAGCACCCACCATGGGCCGAGCCCTCCTTCCCTGTGGATAACTAACTGAGAAACTGTCCTATCGCTGGATCTCATGGGGGCCTTTCCTCAAACGAGGCTCCCCCTGCCCCCCGCCAGGTCTCTTCTCTGTGTGAAGTCGAACCCGAGCCATTGAGGATGCTGGTCCAGTGTGAATGGTGAATACTATGGAAATATTTGAACACACGGGATGAATGGAAACAAGGAAAAGGGTAGATTCTGATTACAGAGAATTTATTTTAACATGGACTCCAAGTTTACCATCATCCTTGTGTGAACAGTGACTAGCAGGACACTTCATACGTTTTGATTTAGCAAATTGTGGATTTTTTTAATAGTATTTTCATAGACTTTTGTCAGTTTTTTAGGATTTTTATTCTTTCCATATAGGTTCACATGCATGTGTGTTGTCTTTACATCCACGACATACATGGTAATGAAAACCTGCAGAGAGTTTCAAAACCTTCTTTAACTGATGAGAAAGAGGGTTGTGTGTCAACCAATTTGGGTTGTGAAGACTCCGCAGAGGTCCTTTGTGAGGGCAACAGGAGCTCTTAATCCCTGGATGTTCTCCACAGTCCCCTCATCACTTTGATAATTATTTTATTTAAGATTTATTTGCTATGTATACAGAGTTCTGACTGCACGTATGCCTGAAGACCAGAAGAGAGCACCAGATTTTATTACAGATGGTTGTGAGCCACCATGTGGTTGCTGGGGATTGAACTCAGGACCTCTGGAAGAGCAGCCAGTGCTCATAACCACTGAGCCATAGCTCCAGCCCTACTTTGATCATTATTTTTCTCTGCTACAGATTACATAAGAGATTTGCAAATAACGAAATCTTGATAGTGTTGAAGAATACACACATTCGTTGACTGAGGTGAGGTCAGTGTTGAAATACCAAACTGGGAGGGGAAAACGAGAGGTCTGCTGGTGAATGAGCAAACAAGATGAGCGTAGGAGGGGATTTTATGAAAGTCTACCACCATTCATTACCCCAAACCATTCAGTGAACAGGGATGGTTGTACATGGGCGTTATGAATGCAGAGTGGGAGAATTTAAAAAAATTTAAATTAAAATTTTAATATTTTAAGCAGAATAAGAGAGATTCTGTGACTCAAGGTGAGTAGGTATTGACCCTAAACAAAGGAGAGTGGAAGAAAGTTTATCAACATTGTGGTGGCAAGATGCCATCATCCTAGAAGGTTGAACAAAGTACACGAGAAAACACTTTCCTTGCTGTAGAAAGGAACTCAGTGGTCTTACTTGTCCCTGCATGCTGATATACAAACCCCCTGACGAGATACACTGGGTGGTGCAACATTGGCCTCATGTTTATGTTAGAAAACCATATTTTTCTGAAGGGATGTGAGGTCTCATCCACAGAAAAAGTCTTCATAACAAGAACTGTCCTCCTAGTCACCAGCCCATGACTTAGGAGATACCAGACACATATTTCACACACATACTTACACATCCTACACTCACACGTACATAAAAAAGAGTCCCATATTGAAGATTTCTATTTAATAGTAAGTAGATTTCATCGCTTCTCAGCCTTTTGGCTAAGATCAAGTGTAATACTAAGTAGATTTCATGATAAATAACTTTATATGAATGTTTATGGCAGGAGAAGAACTTTATTCACTGAATGACAGATAAAGAGCGTGGAATAAACATGTCAAGGGCAGAAATTTGAGATAAAGCACTGGAGTAAGGATATGAACTACAGAATCAAGTCCTTAGACCATCAGGAATGAATGATGGATGCAACTTCTAAGTTGTGATTTTGATGCCATGGACAAATATGTAGCAAGTTGTCTCAGTTTTGCAGCCTGTATAATTAGGAACATCAATGAAAATACATGAAACAACAATAAAGATATGTTTTATAGTATATACAGGAATGTGTGATTGAGTGAAGATCATCACATCATATTTAATGCTTCATTAATTTACTAAATTTATTTACTTTACCTGAAAAAAAAATGGACTATGTGTCCTAAGTCAACTTCATTTTTTGTATTTGAAACACAGACATAAAAATTAATAAAGGCAGTAGAACTCTGTAACTAGGGATATTGAAGGACCATTTTCAGGCATATTTTTATGGTTTTTGCCAAGGTTTGAGATTTGTTTCTTCCTCTTTGTATTATTTTAAAACTGTTAACACAGTATATTTTCATCCCATTTCTCCCGGTGGAGTATTTTTGATGAAATGATTGATTCAACCTAAAACTATTATTTCAAAACTTTTAACACAATGTATTTTGATCCCATTTCTTCCCAGTGGAATATTTTTGATAAAATGGTTGATTTAACCTAAAAGGACTCTGTCTTAGGAGGAAAGGAGTTTATTCACCGTCCACTTACCAAATCCATATCTTCATTGCAGACAGGTGTCTGTGAAATACAGGATACACAAAGTAAAAATAGAATTTATTTACTCCACAATTTTCACTTCACTGTTTGAGACTCAGGGATGGAAATCAAGAATTTTCGTGATTTTCCTCTTATGACAAATCAATAATTTTTTCTAGTAGCAAAGCAGAGTTATTTACCATATCTGAGGATATCTTGTATATTTCCAACTGGAATTCCAAGTTGATCGGTCACGGTGACATAAAAGTCCCATAATTCTTTGCTTAGACTGGTTTCTTTTGCTCCATTTCATGTAAGAAGTCAAAAGAGATCGCCATAAGAAAGCTGTCAACTTCTGAAATATGGGTGACTCAAATTTTCTTGTCCAGAACTGTATCACATTACTGATTGTTAAATACAGTGTCTGAAGAATTTTGTTTTGTGGATTAAGATCACATTCCTGCCAACTCCCCTGATATCCATCACCCTTTTCCTACCAATCAAGAAAAACACACACAAAAAACCATAATTTTTTAAAACCAATCAAGCCTAATTTGTGCAGCCCATATATTGGGGAAGTTGTGCATTTTCACTTTTGGTGGTTCATTTATCAATTTCTCTTTAAAATGTCATTGCAAACACCATATTCAATCATTAGTTCAATATTTATTATATGTAATGTAATATCTGTTTTCAGATTTGTAGACTAGTATACATAGTTTATAAGGTATATAAACAATCTAAGTGCCCATAAACTGATATTTTGCCCCATATGATTAAATACGGAGTCCAGGTCATCATTCTGGATACCCCAAGGTACTTCTCAATTGATGGACACACGTCTGATACACATTTTATATATTATGAAATATTTAAATGTAGTTAATTTTCCAATAAACATGATGACATAATAAACTTCTTGGTTTAAGTTCTGGCATGAGTAAGTATTTGAAAACCGTTGTTAAACATTTTCATATGAAAATTCAAAGGCAACGTGTTTGCAAGAACTTTAATTTATATATCATACTTACAGAACACTGCACTCAAATTTCTTACATTTCCATTCTTTTCAACAAATTTCATGTACATGATGAAGTGGGTACTTGATACAAAATACAATAAAAAGGAAAAAACACCAGATTCTGAAAAGGAAAATTTGTTCTTGATTAGATACCATGAAGGATTTCTATCATTTGCTTTGAATTTGCTGAATGTGTTTATGTATGTGTAAAGTAAGAATTTCCCCACCAAATAGTTTAATGAAATTAAACAAATTTTTTTATTTCATTGAATTAATTGTCAGCGACAGTCATTAGTATCCTACAAGTAAGAAAGAAAACACTTGTGAGAATTAAATAAGATTTAAGACATTTAATCAAACTATTCTGCTATTTGAAAAATTGGAAAGAAAAATAATTTATGTGATGATATTTGAAATAATAAGAATAGGAGTGTGTCACAAAATTCTACCTCAAATATACATTTTTTACATCATGATTGAAAATCGGCAAACACCAAACACAGTAAATGATTTGTCTAAATTTGTACCATTAAAAAGCAAATTTATGCACTTTTTATGTTTCCTATGAAACAGTAAACCCTATATGTGTATTTTATCCTTGTACATACAACTCTAAAAAGCAATATTTAATCAAGAATAATATGGACATTGTTGGAGGGTCCAACTAAAAATGGATGGCTCTTCTTCCTTCTCTCATCAAATTTCAAGTGATTTCACAGAGACTTTTTCAGTTATCATAAGTCATTTGCTGAACTTTCAGGCTAACATGATTTCTTATTGTATCATCAGGCAAAATATTTTATTCAGTTTTATTAATAAAAATGAGTATGATTCTACAAAAGAAAACACTGCAGTTACAAAAAAAGTCCATATAATTAACCAACAATAATTTCTTTACACCTCATAGCATATTTCACTATTTTATTTTCAAGCAATTTTTTTTTTAAAAAAAAAGTGTTCTAAAAATCACTTATTCACTTAAGATTGAGAGAATTGCAAAGGTTCACAATTGTTTATTGCTGATGGGGGGTTATGGGAGTTTTATATGTGGAGCCAAAATGAAGGATCATTATCAACATGGATTGAATATTTTTTATTTTCTTTCTTTTCTTTATCTTCTTTTCTTTTTGTGTTTTGTTTTTGTTTGTTTTTCAAGACAGGGTTTCTGTGTTCAACAGTCTTAACTGTCCTGGAACTCTCATTAGACCAGGCTGGCCTCAAACTCACTGAGATCCCTCTGCCACTGTCCCCCAAGTTCCGGGATTGAAGTTGAGCGCCACTACTGTCCAGCTAGATTGAATATTTCACGAACCTTTAGTTCCATCTCCTTGTACATGAACCCAGGTCTCTGGGAGAGTAGAAAATGTATTCTCAAACATCCACAATCCTGTAATATAAGGATCTCCACCCTGGCTTCTGGTCCATGTTGCTGTAGGATCACCTGAAACAATTATGAAAAACAAAACAAAACAAAACCCACAAACTTTCCTTCATTCGTTTACTTTCTCAAAATATTGTGTTTAAGCGATGACTAAAGTAATATGAAATTAATGTACCATATACATTGTTTTTGTAATTTACTCACTCAATGCGATGAATGTGGCAGAAACTAACTTTTTAGCCAGAACTGCATACAGTCGGCATCCATCCTTTTGCCTAAACACAAAATAACAATCATTATATTTTCTTCAGTTAATACTGTCCTTCCTTTGGCTTAAACACACGGATAATTTCATATACTTAAAGAATGGATGAGTCTTATAATGTGCTCACGAGTGTCCCTCCTGTGACCTCCTGTGACTACATTACAGGCTCTCACACATGCATGCACGGAGGGTCGTGTAAGCATCATGTATGACACATGCATGCATGGTATCTTTTCACGGTAGGCTCCCTCACCATGCCACTCATTAATCACCAAGACTTTCCAGACACGAATCTTCTGAGGAACCAGACAGTCAGACTCATGTGTGGGTCTGTACCTACTCATGGTTATGGAAAGGCAGGCACACACACTTTACTGGGGATGAAAACTCTGAGCTTTGTGGTGTGTGTGCTGTCTCCATATCTCACACCTCTCTCCTAAACATACAGCTCTCCCACGATTAAAACACCGACTTTATTCTCAAGACAGGGTTTCTCTGTGTAGTTTTGGTGCCTGTCCTGGAACTCACTCTGTAGCCCAGGCTGGCTTCGAACTCACAGAGATCCGCCTGCCTCTGCCTCCCTGAGTGCTGGGATTAAGGACGTGTGCCAACACTGCCCGGCTTACAATTACAAAATCTGTTATTTCTCGGACAGTTACCTATGAGTGTTAAGGAAGAAGATTCAGTTTGGGGCCCCAGGGTTAGGGTCTGATGTGGACACAGTCTTTGTATGCACAAACATAGGGTCGTTTGTTTATTTGTGTTATATATAATTATAGAGAATAATAATTAATTATATGTTGTAGATGTTATATGTAATTATATTATATAGAATAATTATATGTAATATATTATCTATATATCTCACTGTAGTATACCTCATAATGCAACTCATCAGCAACCCAGACTTCCCTGACACCAACACTTTGATAGAGCAGACAACCCAATGCATGGATTGGCACACACACACATATGGTCATGGAAAGGCTGAGAACTGGAGCCCTTTTCCTTGGAAGGAAACCATCTCAATATGTCTGTCTTTTGTCCTGAATGTACAACTCCTCTACTATTGTGGGATGATTCATCCCTAACAGGCTTGAGGGCCAGACGACCTAAACAAGTAAAAAAGATACTTTCTGAGAGCCAGCCTGAGTCTGCCTAAGGGTCTTAGCAACAGCAGCTGAAACATGATCTGGAGATGACCTGGACCAATGAGAGTCTGCCAAGTCACACCAGCAGATGCATAGTCATCAGCCCTCCCCCCAGGGTGGGGTGGAGAGTATATAAGTCTTGCATCTTCCTGAATAAACTAAGCTTGTTGTTTCAACATTCTCCCAGAGTCTGTGTCATTGACTCTGCGCCTACTTGGCCCCCACCCTCCAAGGGGAACAACAGCAAGGACCCTGCCACATACTATGACAAAGTCTATTCATTCTCAAAAATGACCTCTCCAGTCTGTAAAGGTTCAGTTGTGCTCCAAAGTGTCCCAATCTCACACGGACACAGTGATTGAATCAGTGACTGGAGTGACTTCCGACTCTCTCTGTTAGATAGTTCTAACTTGGGATGATTAATTTTTCAATATTGGAAACAGAAGTGAGTGTTCCCACATGGACACATACGTATATGTAAATATGGAACAATAATAAATGAAAATGACACTGTGATTGGTTTCTATAATATTTTATCTGAGAAGATACGTGTTGAAATGTCATTTACTGTGTGTCTATAATATTTTATCTGAGAAGACACGTGTTGAAATGTCATTTGTTGTGTGTCTATAATATTTTATCTGAGAAGACACGTGTTAAAATGTCACTTACGTGTGTCTATAATATTTTATCTGAAAAGACACGTGTTGAAATGTCATTAGTTGTGTGTCTATAATATTTCATCTGAGAAGGCACGTGTTGAAATGTCATTTGTTGTGTGTCCATAATATTTTATCTGAGAAGACATGTGTTGAAATGTCATTTGTTGTGTGTCTATAATATTTTATCTGAGATGACTCATATTAAAATGCCAGGACTCTGCAGATATGAGGATGTGTGGCCATAATTCTAGATTTCTCTGCTATCGACTGGGATGGATGTCACCTTCCATGACATGGCACTTGAATGTGAAAGAATAAATGACTCAATGATGAAAAAATAACTCAAGGTAGGTTCACTAGTTTGGTGGGACGTTCTTGAAACTGACAGCTGAAGGACAATGCTGTATCTAAATATTTATGAAGAGTGAACAGTGTGATTTAACAAGCGTTATCTGTGGGTGACTAGAAACCATCTGACCAAGTGTTCACAGTGAACTCGTTCATAAAATCCCCAACTCTTTGTTTAATAATCTATAATTTCTGGAAGCTGAGTGCTCATCTATTTGATACACATCTCCTGAAAACCATTTTAATTTATTTACATATATATGCATGTAAATAATATATATTATAAATTAATTTTCCATTTAATTAATTTATATTTAGAATACATTTAACTAAATGTAATCAAGTACGTAAATTATGTATTATAAATTTAATTTATGTTTAATTAATTTATATTTATGTTATGTTTAATTATGGTATCTGAGGGAAATTCATGACATTTTCCTGTGTCTCCTTGTGGAGGTGACACTGTAACATGATGATCTAAGATATGATGGACCATCTGTCATCACTGATTTATTTTCATACAACATCAAGGAAAATGTGGCCACGTGACACTAATATAAATCCAATATTTTGTCTCTTATGGCTGAATGCACTTAGCTTACCTGAGGTAAAAAGTGATGCGCATTTCCTTGTAGTTATTGTAATATAGAACATAACGTACGTAGATCCTCAGTGGCCCGTTCTCTCCTATTAACTTTACATCACCAGCCGCTAAGTAGAGCGTTCGAAATTCACCTGAAAGCTGGACAAGCATACACACTTAAGATTTTGTCACATATTGTTATACCTTCATTTTCAAGGCCAGTCAAAATAATTTTCACAGATGTTCTCACGTGACATAATTACCAGGGACATCTTTGTAAGAAATAATGTGTATGTTTTCTAAACGCTACAATTCTGAAATATGAATTCATGTTGAACTCTGTGCATGAACTGTAATACGTAAAATTTACAAAGCAAAAATCAAGCAGACACAATTAAATTTAATTAAATATAATACAAATATAAATTAATTAAATATATATTAAAGCTACAATATAATTTATATACACAATTTAATTAAATATAATATAAATATAAATTAATTAAATATAAAGTAAATTTATAACATATAATTTATATATATACATATACATACATATATATATATATATATATATATATAAAATTAAAATGGTTTTCAACAGATGTGTACCAAATATATATATTGAACGGAAGAGGCACTTTGTATATTACTTAAAGAGATATATCATTTAGGTACTGGAAGAAAACACATTTCTCAGATGACTACTGACTTTCTAAGCACAGGTAAAGATGTTATGAATAGAGCAAAAATACAATAACGTAAGAAATCTGAAAAATGAACAAATCCTCCTGAGAGCTGAATATCCACAACCACCGGAGAAGTGAACATACAGATTATGTGCTTCTGCCTTGTCCCTGTCAAAAGGTCATTGTGAAGGATAAACTGATAACAAATGCTGGGATGGCTACATCCAAACGGAGTGTTTATCCACATCTAGAAGGTATGCAGTCTCATCCAAGAGCATTTGATTGGGTTTGTGGAGGTGTCTTCAAAGGGTAGAAATTAAAATAGCACCAGACCTTCATTTACCACTCCTAGGAATATACACAAAGACTTCACATCTTCATACAGAAAAATTAAATTTATAATATATACTTTATATACATAATTAAATTTAATTAAATACAATATAAATATATTAATATAATGTAAATTAAATTTGAAATCATTTGTGTATTATTTTCATTTTTATGAATATTCAGGTCACAAGAGCCAAAATTTACATCAACCTCTAAGCTCATCAAGAATAATGCCTCATGAAAGCATGGTATAGATTCAAAAGAGAGTAGAGTGATCAATTAAATCAGAAAATATGCAAATAAACGCATGACATATACTGCATGGGGTGATCTATGGCCAGGAAAGCAAGCAGCACGTTTTCCTTCTCATGTAGACACCAGCTTCACTTTCAGGTTTCATGTGATTTGCATGGAGTATATTTGAACGCAAGACTGTAGAAACAGGCCTTGATGGGAAAGGCACATTCAGAGAAGTTGTGTAGTAAGTGAGATACATGTGTGAAGTAAGATACACGTGAGCAGGTGGCAGAGACCGGATGTGCATGTGTGCAGAACAGTTCACACACATAGTGACGTGAAGTAGAAAATGAAAAAAAACAGGGACATAAAGAGTATTAAGCTGAATAAAATGTGTTTAAAGAAGCTTCATGGAGAAAAACCTATTTCTGTGCAATAAAATCCATGGTATAAAGTTATAGTTGTTTGACTAAATAATGTTCCCCACATGCTCAAAACTTGATTCTGTATCAGTCAAAGTAAACTTTCTGAGTTAAGCAATTCCTACCACAGCATTTCAGCTTTTATATACACAATGAAATTTAATTAAATCTAATAAAAATATAAATTAAATATAAATTAAAATAATATAATTTATACACATAATTAAATTTAATTAAATATGACAAATCTAAATTAAATTTATAATATACAATTCATATACACGATTAAATTTAATTAAATATAATATGAATATAAATCAATAAAATATAAACTAAATTTATAATATATAATTTATATATGTATATATAAGTAAAATGGTTTTCAACAGAAGTGCATCAAATAGGTGAGCACTCAGCTTCCACAAAATATAGATTATTAAATAAAAATTTGGGGACAAGCATGAACGAGTTCACTATGAATACTGGGTCGGATGGTTTTTGTAACCTCAGGTAATGCATGTTTTCTCCTAGGTTATGGGTGCTCAGTGAGACTGAATAATAACGTCCTATTTCTGGAAAAAAATGAGAAACTTTGAAGGCAGGATATGGAAAAATCAGTCTTGAAATGAAGAACATCCCCAGTAGAGTGGAGAGTCAGAGAAAGAAACCATTTTTCCCGGGACACTCATCCAAAAGACTAGTTTGTCTAATTTACAAAAAACAAAAAAATTAGGAATTTAAAATGTCAAAATCTATTAATATTGCCTGATAACAGGGGATAGAGAGTTGTAATGACAGCATACAAATGGCAAAAAAAAAATATGAATTGGCAGCACAGTTCCTAGCTGCAAAGGTATGGGTCATTGATGTCTGCAGCTGAAGTGAGATTCATTCTCTTTCTTGGCCTGGTGTTGGACTTTTCCCTCACTGTAGGATATTATGTCCCTGTCATACACACATAGGCAGTGCTAATTGGATTGATAGTCTTACAAAAACAGAAATATTAACAAAATGAGGGAAAAGATATGTATGGAGATGAGCAATAGTGGACTTGGAAGGAACAAGTAGAAGATAAATGGAAAAATTTCAAATATGGACATATCATTAAATATATTTAAATTATTGGAAGAAAGATTTATGCCATCTGAAACCCAAGGTACCTGCACTTGGGACACTTTTTCTCCAATTGGTTTGTCATGTCAAAAACTGAAAAGATATTTCTTGCTCCATCTTACTATGTTTTATTTTGATATGTTTGGGTATCTCCTAAAAGCCTCTACTTTTCTAGGAAGAGATCAAAATGTTGCGGGTGCAGAATGGAGAGGAGGTGGAGAGGAACTGATAGGAGTAGAGGAGAGGGAAACTCTAATCAGAATGCATTTTATGAGAAAATAATCTAATTTAAATCAATGAAAAAATTGTATATATGCATATTTGATAAATGTTAAAAAATATAAAATTAAAGAAAATAATAAAATGAACTTTTCTGATATGATTTGTGGTTGCACATATTCACATTTATATTCACCATATGTTCTCCCATGACAATGTACAAAAGCAAATTAGGGATAATAATAAAACTCTAAATTCACAGACAAAATAATTATAACAATGAGAAAAAATGAAGAGTTGAAAGAAATACCAAACTATATCAATGTCTTAATTACAGCTCAAATAAACAGCATGAAAGAAACATTTATTTTGATGATAGACAGAGTTCTTTGAATTCAAATATGCCATCCCCAGATCCTTTGACAGGTGCTTTTTTGGAAACAGCCCTTCTGAAGTTGAAAAGTGTTCATTTAAATTGTCATAGACTTCATGAGACAGAAAGAAAGAATTAAGCTTTTTGAGGAATGCATTATAATATAATATAAGTCACAATATGTTAAAGTTTCTTGGATACTCTGTTTTATTGAATTATTTGTAAGATACCAGAAGTGGCATTTAAATAATTTTCAGCATAGTTCCCACTTCTATTAATTCAAATTTCGCATGGCATAATTTATTCACTGAATGATTTCCTCTATTCCATCTTAATATATATTTATTAAAATATTTAGTTTAGGAAGATAGAATTTAATGTAGAATCAATAGCCATATCCTTACAATTTATAACCAAATTAATGTCAAGATATGGTATATTTATGATATATTATATAATCATATATATATATATCAAATTAATACTGAATACATAATTATAAATATTGACACTTTGCATCATAATCGTAATCCTGGTCCTACATGTACTTTTAACTGAAAAAATTAAATCAATTATTTCAGAATTTTTTTCACATGTTAAAGAAGTTTAAGCACCCATTTTAATGTAAATCTCCATCTATGGCATCTCTTCTGTCACCACCCTAAACCTTGTGGTCTTTCAAACATCCAAGTTCTGGCTAGCCATCATATTGAGAAAAGTTTCATCTATTGCCGAATATCCAGAAATATGAAGAGATAATTGTTTACTTGTCAGAGCAAAGAAATATGAGTCTACATCCAATGAAATATAAAGCACTTACAGTATTAGCAAGAGCAATAAGAAAGGACACTGAAGTTAATGATTATTTTATAATTGAAGTCACCCAGCCAACACTCTTAGGTTGAAACGAGGAGAAAACTAAACTATTTAGCATTTGAACATGGGGGATTCTCTGAAAATTCCCAGTCAGCAAAGAAGAGTTACCACAGTACTAGCAAATGACAAAAAAGCAAAGGATCGCATTATTATTACCAGCATTTCCCCACAAATAAATTTTATTACTGTAAATTTTGAGACAAAATGTCATTCTTGCACTGGAACCAACATGTTATACCTAACCCTGCTAAAATACAGGTTTTTATGTTTTTAAATTTATGATTGTGCTTTCAGTAAATCTAACAGGTCTTGCTACAGACAGACTTCAGCAATATAACCTTAATTATTAAATTAATTAAACTGTCCATTCAAAAGTGTAAGTCATTTTTAGAGAGGAGGAGAAATTGAATGCATATTTATTTGAATAATCCTATACATGCATTATGCTCTATTTTTTAAAAAAATTATACAAATCACACTATCACAATGTCTTTCATGTATAACCATACAAATACACAAACCATATATTTGTAGTGAATTATTAAAATTTCAAGCATTGTTAAAACTACAAGATGTTAAATCCATTTTCTCTGATGGATAGAATTACTGTGAATACAACTGCAGCTTTAGACTGATTGATAAGGATTGCTGCACTGTCTACAACAATATCGCAAGTTGCTCTGCTTTAGGATAAATAATTTAACTAACATTAAGCAAAGCCGAGGACAGCGGTTAACAGAAGAATCTTCATTTTTCTATGTCTCAGTTTCCAGCTTCTTAAGAAATGATCCGTATTTCAGTCGTTACAGAGAATATCAACTAAAACACTTTCCATCTGTTTCCCTTCATGGGTCAAATACAATATAAAGTGTGGTTCATTTTGGAAGCTTGTTTATTTGTCAGAGTGTCCTGCTTGGCAGTCAGTCCAGGACTTAGGTTGACACTTGACTTTTCCATTCAAGGAATTCTGGCATGATGTGCTTTATTGTCAAATACACGAGGAAACACATTATATAACTTTGAAAAAATGCTAAGATTGTAGTCTTGTGTCGTCATCTGTTACATTATGGAGAA